AAATCAAAAAAATCGCCGAAACCCTCACAAGCTCGGTTGGTTGTGAAGAGTTCAAAGAAGAAAAGAGGAAATAGGGAACTTAAAGAGGGGAATTTTGCTTGAGTTGTAGTTCTTGGTGTGGATAAGTTCTTGGAGGTTTAGAACTCAAGAAGAAAGCCGAAACCGAAAATTTGGGGAGATAAGAGCTGGAACCGGAGATAGAAGAAGGAGTTGGGGATTTTTATTCACCTTTAAACCCCCTTCCGACCCGCGTTCTGCGCGTCGGATTCGTGTCCGACGCGCGTGAGTGCGGGTCGGATCCATCTGACCCGCGTGAACACGGGTCAGACCTATTTTGGCTGATTTCGTTGCTTTCTCTCCTGATTTCGTCCGTTTTCAGAGCTTTCAGTACAGTTTCATCTCCCGGATAATTTTGCGGCATTTTCACTCATATTTGGAATGTTCAGAGTCCAATTCCATCTCCCGGATAATTTCGTGATATTTTCGCCTATTTTCAGACTATTCAAGACCCAATTTTATATTTTGGGTAATTTCGCGGCATTTCGCCTATTTTCAGACTATTTAGGACCCAATTTCATATTTTTGGGTGAATTCGCGACATTTTAGCCTGCTTTTGGAATATTCGGAGTCCGATTTCATATTTTCGATCGTTTTACGACGTTTTCGCCTATTATCAGAATATTCGAGAGCCAATCTTATATTTCCGGATAACTTTGAAGCGTTCCGCAAAACTCCAATGGGTACATGAGTCTAAACTGTTTCCCATTTTGACAGGAAGTTCCTAGAGAATATTACATATAATAATTCTTAAGGATAACCTGGCAACCTCCGACGAGTACACGAGGCTAAACTAACTCCCGAAACTCCCAGGAGCATACGAGTATAAACTGGTTCTCCTCAGGTCGATTCAAAACCCTAAGGTCAACGCCGGTCAACGCATAACCCTAGGTCAACACCGGTCAACGCGTTGCGATGAGAGTCAACGCTGATCGATTCGAAACCCTAAGGTCAACGTCGGTCAACACATAGCCCTAGGTCAACGCCGGTCAACGCGTTGCGATGAGAGTCAACGCCGATCGACACGAAACCCTAAGTCAACGCCGGTCAACGCGTTGCGATTGATCCAAAAGTCAACTCAATGACACATCAGCAAAAATCTATTCACCAAATTCAATTCAAGGCTTTAATAACGGTCAGACGATAAACGCAGTACCGGGAAAATCTTAGCTATTCGATAAAATACAGAATATGCTAAAATGTGGAGAAGTCAAGAATCGAAACCATCTGTAGGTCCTTTAACACCGACTAAAGGTGGGGATCCATCATATCCAAAGTATTTCAGACTCCTCTATAAAAGAATGAGGCTGAAACACTTTGGAGGGGGTATCTGTAGACGTCTAAAATTGTTTATGAGAGCCCGCACGAAACTCGAAGTAATGAACGGGCGAGTCAAGAAAATTCGCCAATCAGTCAGCGCACGTCAAATCATCTCGTGCGTGTCGGTCAGCTCGTACGCGTCGGTCAACACACACACGCCGATCAGTCCGCGTGCATCGATCAACATGCGTATATTAACCAACGCGCGTTCGACAGTCGGTCTCGCGGCGAAGCATACAAGTCAACAAATCGGCCAAACACGCGAAAAGAATAAGTCTCGGAAGAAAGAGAACAGAAAAAAGGAAAAGTCGGCAAAACTGCGCGAGCGCAGGACGGACCGAACCGACCCGCGCAAGCACGGGTCGGATCAGTCCGACCCGCACAAGCACGGGTCGGTTCAATCCGACCCACAATTGTGCGGGTCGGGTCAATCCGACCCGCAATTGTGCAGGTCGGATTGGTCCGACCCGCGATTGTGCGGGTCGGATTAGTCCGACCTGTGCAAGCGCAGGTCGGACTGATCCGACCCGCGCCACACAGTCCGGAACCTGAAACGTGTTTTGACGGTTTTAAAGCTGTTTTCACAGGATTTATCTGTTCCAGGGGTTCCCAACTGATTTGATATCATCCCCAAACGTGGTTAGGCTGTTGTTAACTGAAGATAGAGCCAAATCACTTGTTCTCATCCAAATAACCGCTTCCGAAGCCCTATAAATACAAGCCTAGGGCCTCCTTTCAGCGGGGACGAATTATTATCAAGACGTGGAGGTGCTGCTGAATTGAGGAGTCAAGGAGCACGAATTTCAGCGAAGGCAAATCAGATCCCGGCGAACTTCGGCATAAAGAAGGAGCTATTCGAAGGATCTGAACCCCGTCCGTCCATCCCTTAAGGTTAGGCTTGGTCTTAATCTCGAGAAGAGCCCTGATTTCGCTTGGTCGATCTCAGCGCTTCAAATCAAATACTTCCTCGGTGAAGACGAAGCTCTGCCGAATTTTTCATCAACCGGATCCAGATCAAAGGCGGTTCACGGATAAACCTCGGCACAGGCAAAGATCCCACACAAGCAGAAGACCGATAAACGATCTCCCTGCGTTTGTTTTGAATGAGAGTTGTATTTTTTTATTTTCATTGTGTAAGAGTCTTATAAAAAGACCATCTTTTTGTATTTTCATTGTAACGACCGAAGTTGTAATGAATACCGCAATGAATATAACAATTTTCGACGCAAACAATCCATAGCAAGGATCAAGGCATCTTGCACGAGATGAGCCTCCTGCTTATTCACATCCTTCTTTTGTGCTTTACAGGCTGAAGACATATGACCCTCCTGGATGAAGTTCCAACATTTCCCTTTGATAGGCCTAACTTTCGAGTTTAACCTCTTCTTGGTCGACTTCGACCGATTCTTGTTCTGGTTACCCTTCTGTTGACTTCTGCCTCTCTACTTGAGATTTAGGATTGATCCTGAACCTTCTGATTCGGACGATTTTCTTCTAACCTCCTCAGATAGAATTATGCTAAGAACCTCGCTCAACTTCAACTTTTCCTTCGCTGCCGAATTGCTAATTGCGGTCACACAACCAGCCTAACTATATGACAACTGCGATAGAATCAATAGGGCCTACACTTCATCATTAAACGTGATGTCCATGGAGATAAGTTGATCAACAATCATGTTGAACTCGCTGAGGTGCATCGTGAAGGAACATCCTTCTGCCATCTTGAGGTTGAAGAGTGTTTTGACGAGATGCACCTTGTTTGTGGCTAACGGTTGCTAGTACATCTTCGCGAGCACTTTCATAAGCCCCACCGTCATCTTCTCCTTCAATATATTATGTGCAACTATCTTGGCGAGCGACAATCGGATTTTTCCTAGAGCCTTCCTATCCCGTATCTCCTACTCCTCGTCTGATTCCTCTTTCTTCTTTCTTTTAGCTTTGCCCGTCAACGGACGGTACAAATCCTTCTGGTACAGATAGTCCTCCATCTGCGAATTCTAGTAGGTAAAGTCTGAGCCCTCAAACTTCTCGATCTTAGATTTGCTTTCCTCTGCCATCGCTCTCACACAAACCTTCTGAACGAAGCTTTGATACTGGTTGTTAGGGATTCAAAACAATCAAATCGAATCCATGCCCTTCCGAACCTTGTGTTTAAGAGTAGGAAAGTAGGAAAAATCACCACAAATAAAAGATAAAACTTGCAGAAAAGTAAACAAGAAAAAACACACCAGATGTAACGAGGTTCGGCAACGTGCCTACGTCCTCGGGAGCCACACCACACAATTCTTTGATTAATTGAAGAAGATTATAATGCCCACAAATAGGTTTTTATCTCTTTGAGATCTCTCGAATCCTCTTAAAACCCTCTTTTTCATGTGTTCTTATAACCCTAAAACGTATTAGGTATATATAGTATCCCAGCCCAAAACAGAATCCTGAATAAAATAGGAAACTGAAAAACCACATCCGGTCGATCGAACCATGTGTGTCGGTCGATCAGCCAGAGCGTCATCTTTACAGGATCTGCTTGTGCACCTTTTCGATCGACTGGCATAGTCCTCGCGATCGATCGGCCAGAGAGCAGTTTTCTGCTTAATTTCCTGCAGTCATTACGATCGACCAGACCTCATCCGTCGATCGACCGACCTGCATTTTTCCTGTTCTCTTCATTGATTTGATTCCAGGTTTGGTCTACACACTCGAGACTAACAAAAATTGATAAAAAGATCAGTCTGATTTATCTGTCTGATTTACGTCTTATCTTGCTCAAACGAGAGAATGGATCAAATGTTACAAGATTCATAAATTTATGGAATTTAAGGAATGGTACCAATAGTGGGACCAGTATCATGAGAGTTGGTTAACCATTAGAATAAGTCTGTTAAACAAGGAACATTAAGTTACCACTGAAGTTAATGCATGAATATCTCTACAATGGTAGGATGCATCCTTAGTTGAAGCAAAATTAATAAAAATGGTAATGGTCATATAATGTTGGTAGAATTCTGAATTACACTACAACAAAAGTTATACGTATCCACACTTATTTTATGACACATATAAAAGTATCATTTTATTTGCAAAGAGTTAAACGATAGTGGCACAAATAAAAAGTGTAGCAAATCACAACACATATGTGTGTCATCAGATACACAAGTAAAAAATGAGGCATTCTAGATGGAAAATTCCATCTAGAAAAATCAGAATTCCGTCTAGGATGAGTATCCTAGACGGAATTCCGTCTAGAATACGCGTTCAGGAAGTTTCCGTTTAGGATGTAGTATTCCAGACGGAAATTCCGTCTAGAATACATCCTAGACGGATTATTCTAGACGGAATTCAAAACCGTCTAAAATACATCCTAGACGGATTATCCTGATGGAATTTCCTTCTAGAATACTACATCCTAGACGAAAAAATTTCCGTCTAGGATGTTTTTTAATTTTTTTAAAAAATAATCATTCTAGATGGAATTTGAGCATCCTAGACGGAATTTCCGTCTAGGATATTATGCTACAGTAGTTTTTTTTTTGTAGAATCTACTTTGAGTGCATGTACACAATATTGAACAATAACAAATTATATTCATATCCAACACAATCTAATTATATTCCAATATCAAATCCAATTATATTCAAATAATACATTCACCAAAATACTAGAGAGATACATAAATTGTTTACAAACTTTTACATAAACTGCATCAGGAGGGATTCCTGTACCTTCGACCCACAGCTTAAGATTAATCTGATTCTCTATTCCAGGAACATTTTCCACCAAAAACTCAAGAAATGTGTCTGTGTCTATTGAAACCCTTTCTCATATGGCACTTGAGAATAAACATCATCAAGATCCACTCCCTGCTGATTCTGCTTCAGCTTTGTGAACTCTATATTATCCTTAAAACCTCTCCATCTCGTCATTCAAACCCCTCCATCCAATCCTAATATTTAGAGCCGCTCGTTCCTTTCCTTGCACTGCCTCGACAATTCTCCTCTCTGCATATGTCGTGAAACCCTGTAATTTCAAAATCACGTACCAGGAGGCATAATTTCTTAATTTATTCATCTGAAGAATAGATATATGGACTATATGAAATAATATAATGTATTGAATTGAATAACTTTTTGAGAACAATTTTGCACAGCCCCTTGCAAGATTTTAACTCATAAACTTACATGCTTGTGAACAAAATTTCTTCGTAGGGTACATTAGAGTAATAGGATTGTAAAAGGTTGCTTTTTTGTAAATACAATGAAGCAACTTATAAATAAAATAAATATATGTACCTCATTGAGCCAGAAATGTTCATTAGTCTTTTTTGTAATAAGGTTTCCCGTCTAGCTATGAGCGAGCTCATGAGCTACCTCCTGCATAGGCACATAAAGAGAATAATCCATCAAGATTAATTTATAGTTACAGTTCAACAAATTATAAAATAAGTAAAATATCACAAATAAGATAGAAATGCTTCCAGGTATGAAAGATTCTAAAAGACGACGCAGTTAAATAAAAAATACTAATCTTTCTTAACAGAAGCAATGTCTTCAATTAAGCACAATAATAATTTTGATCTAAATACATCATGATGTTTTTCAATACTTATTTACATCAGAAATGTTCATGAAAGAAATTCAAGAAATGACTTGGCTCAAAACTCTTTTCCTGTGTGATATCATCGTCTTGCAATTCATAACTTATCTAACAATGGAAAGGTAGGGTGCTATAGAATGTAATCCAAATTGATCCGTCTTGCAATTCATAACTTATCTAACAATGGAAAGGTAGGGTGCTATAGAATGTAATCCAAATTGATCTCCATACTTCCTAAGTGATCTTGAAATGTGGAAAGGTAGGGTGCTATAGAATGTAATCCAAATTGATCTCCATACTTCCTAAGTGATCTTGAAATGTGTTACAGTTAGGTCTAGCAAAAGGAGAGTTAATCACAAAGTTTGCAGATCACTCATTATTCACAGTGAAAACAAATGCTGGGCAAAGTCATTGCCAATGAAAACCCCAGAGTTGTCAAAATTCAGGAACATGCTCAGTGCTGGGCAAAGTCTAATATAATAATGATACTTTCATTGAAGCCTAGGAAGTCAGTTTGCAAGCAATTCTCCTGCAAGTTGACAACCCAAATTAATTCAACCAAGGGGAAGCTTCCACTTAAACATCATCAATGCTATAAGAGAGAACAGGCAGAGTTAGAGCCTGACAAAGTTTGTTAGATGGAATTCAATTGATCATGACCCACAAGATAAGCAAATTCATCGCCATTTGAGATAAAATAGAGAAGGCTAAAAAAATGCTCAAATAAGGCAAGGTTAATGAAAGTCCGAAATGTATCAATTAGTGAAGATTCCTGGCAATTATATCCAAAGCATTCATGAAAAGCAAGGGTTCTTACGCATAAGCAAATTCCGAGAAGGGGGTAACAGGCGCAAGCTTCAGCAAATAGTCTTCAGCCTTTGATAATTGTGATTGAAGCCTTGATACACTCCCAATCCTATCATTCAACATCATCACCTGCAGACAGACACAGGGAGCAATCTGTTTAAAAATCAAGCCTACCTGTGGCGTCAAACAGAAATTACCAAAGTGCCACTCACCGTGAAGCGTGGCCGACAAGCTCCCTGCGGCGAGGTAATCGAAGACCAGCAGCTTCTCGTCCTTGGAGTAGCAGTAAGCCCTCAGCGGCAGCAGGTTCCGGTGCTCGATCCTGCTAATGTCCTCCATCTGCTCCTCGAACTCCCTCTTGCTCGCCGCCACGTCCTTCAGCCTCTTGACGACCACCGTCGTCCCCTCCTCGAGGAACTCCGCCGACGCCCGCAACAGGTCCCCACGATCCCGCTCCCCTCCTTCGACGATGACGTCACTTCCTAATAAGAGGACGCGGGAGAGGTGGAGAAGGGAGAGGTGGTGGAGGCCATGGATGGAGAAGGAGTAGAGGGGGAGAGAGAGGTAGGGGGTGAGGTTGAGGAGGGAGAGGGAGAGGATGGGGAGGCGGTGGAGGGAGGAGTAGGGGGGTTCCTGAAATTATGGAACTTGGGGATGAAGTATTCGATTTTGGGGGGAAAAAGGGCATTCGCGGGTTTATTGGGTTAATTTTTTTTAAAAAAATGACTAAGTATCCTAGACGGAAATTTCCGTCTAGGATACTTAGCCAATTTTTAAAAAAAATTAAAATTAAATAAACCGTCTACTTTATCATGTTAGACAGAAATTTCCGTCTAGAATATTTTATCCTAGACGAAATATTCTAGACGGAAATTTTCCGTCTAGTTTAACAGCAAACTAGACGAAAAAAATTTCGTCTAGAATATTCCGTCTAGGATACATTATTTTCTACTAGTGATAATAAAATTAAAAAAAGGCTAATATTCTAACATAGGTTGTGAGATGATCTATTAATGAGCTTAAATAATAAATCTTAAACTTTAATTATGATGATGATTAAACGTTTATGATAGTATATAAGCCAAATAACTCTATAATTAAGTGTGTTTTGGTGAGAGTAATCCTACGATGGGTGACCTTCTGAAAAGTTATAATGTTGAATGATTATACTCTTTATATTTTTATGGTCTAGACACAACTATGTGTCACTATTCTTGATACATATATGTGTCACGAGTTTTGTGACACATATGTGTCACAATTCTTGACATATATATGTATTGTGAGTTTTGTCACACATTTTCACATGTATAGAAAAATACTCTCCACACATGCTTTAACCACACTTTTGGTATGTGTCATGCGCTATTTGTGCGATACAAAAATATGCCGCGTAGAGACAAATAATGTATCATAATTCACAACTTTTGTTGTAGTGTCTTCTATCTTTATCAAAGTTTATTAATGCAAATTTATAAGACAGAAGTGTTGTTTTTGGAAATCTTTATGCAAAAATATTCAGCATATACACTTATTAATTTGCATAGGGTAAAACAAGCAACATGAGATATCACCAAATCAGACCAGTAAAATGGAGGTTGATGAATATGTGTCAAGACATGTACATTCAATGCATTTGCAATGTTGTAGGTCAACGGCAAATGATGAAATGATAAATCCATTAATCCATGAATTATGCATACACTAGTGAGGGATTATGTATCTGGATGTATATGCAATACACGAACAAGGTTTTTGGTGCCTAGAGGAACATGCATTTATTTTCATATTGTCTCTGTATTTGCAAACCAATAAGTATCATGCATTATCCTGCCATGTGTTCGCGGGGAAAACTATTTTCTTCATTGAAATAATTGTCATTTTGGATTACAAAGATCCGGTCTTTTATAGATCCGGTTACAACTAAATCAAGGAAAAAATAAGAAAAATTACAACTTTCCTTTTGTGAACAAATCGCGAGCTCCTGTTTTGCGGTCGCTCGCTTTGGTGGGTTCTTTGCCAACGCCGGGGTTAATCCGTGGACCACCGCGCGATCTAGATCCGGTCGGATCTACACGATTATACGGGTATTATTCCACGAAGGGAATAATAGCCGGGGAGGATTGATTCACCAAGGAAACAATCGTCCAAATCTCGGGATCTAAGACCAAGCTTAGATCCGGAGTATGATCACGTGTAGATCTCAGATCTGTTCTTCCTCTCTCTCGAACACCTGCCTTTTGTGACGTTGATGCTCGCCGAGATTCAGATCTGAATGTCCAAGTCTTCAAGTCTTCAAAACTCTAAGCTTGATCTTCAATTCGGCAGAGTTTCGGCTCTTGAAAGTTCGACCCTCCGAAAATGAACATCTCTAGGCCTATCTATAGGCTCTCAGGACAGTGCCCGCAAACAGAGAAACGTCGGCCACCATTCCTGATTTGGCAGTAAATCCACTTCTGAGTTCGAGTCCGGAACTGATCTTGATTCGATCGTGATTCGTCCGAGTCTGTTCCCGGTTGGATGACTCGTTGATTCTTTAACACTTGGCTTGATTCCGAACGTGTATGGATTCATTCCGTTGTTCGCGTGCGATTTGTCGATCTCGTCGCCTCGTTGGTTCGTCGGTTTATGCCGAACTGTGCTAATGGACCTATAAGCAATTTTATATGCCTACAGATACCCCCTCCAAAGTATTTCAGTCTCGTTCTTTTATAGAAGAGTCTGGAATACTTTGGATATGATCGTCCCCACCTTTAGTCGGTGTAACGGGACCTTTGGAATGATCTCCGTTCTTGATTCCTTCAATCTTCTAGGCTATTCGGTGCTTTGTCGAATATCTGTAAGAGTTCCGGTGCTGCATTTATTGTCTGACCGTTGTCGGAATTTTAAACCTGGAGTTGATTCCTGATCTTTTAGCTAAACATCGATTGTTGGCGTCGAGTCTTTATTTGCAACGCGTTGTCCGGCGTAGTGTTGTTGAGTTATCCTTAAGAATATTTATAAAAACATATTCTCCAGGAACTTCTCAAACCAAAAATAGGGAATAGTTTATACTCATATACCTTATTGGAGTGATTTCTGTGCCCAAATGAGCTGAACCGGCTTAAAATGAGCCAAAAAAGGCAGTAAATCGGCTCAAAAAATCCTCCGACTCTTCCGAACAAATGGGAGAGGAGTGAGTAAATGATGGACTGAACCGTCGCTCGATTTGAAGTCTTTTCGCCGCTCGGTTCAGCTTCAATTTAGGTTTTGGTTCAAGATCGGTCCGGTTTGGTTCGGTTCGGTTCAAAACCGGTTCACCCTATAAATAGGGGTCTTTTTTTTCTTTTCTTTTCTTTAACCTAGGGCCGGCCCCCCTCTTGCCTCCTTTTTTGCTTTTCTCTTCCCTCGAGTGTCCGATCTCCTTAAAAACTTGATATTCGTCTTAGATCTAGTACTCCTTTTGATCCTTGACTGAAAAATCCTTCGAAACTTCCATTTTTGGAATTTCTCTCAGGCCCCTCGAGCGTGTGGTTCGAGCACTTTCAAGATCTAATTTTTTATTGGATCTTGGAGCTTCCCCTCAGGTATAATCTTCATAATTTTAGCATTTTTTATGCTTTATTCAATTTATGAATCTGTGGGACCACGGGTGAGGGTTCAGATTATAATTTGGCGCCTCGAGCTTATCTTTTAGGGGATAAAAAAGTGATCTTTTTTTTTTAGATCTGA